GATTGATTATAATTGTCAATAAAATAATTGTATAGGTATGGTTGAAACCAAATACTGGACTTAAAGGAGAGCAAAGATATTGCGAGGTAGTTTCCCACTTCAATTTATTGTGTGATTTTAATACTCTTTTTGTCAATAAATCCCTCAAGTAGTTAATATGATTGGCTTAATTATATATTTTTATTTTTTTAAAACAATTATTATTATTATTATTATTATTATTATTATTATTATTATTATTATTATTATTATTATTATTATTATTATTATTATTATTATGTATACCCTTAGGTCATTTTACATGTTAATCTAAACAGCTAATTTTTTCAAATATCATTTTACCAACTGTTGATATAATTCGCTGGTCAAATCCGCAAATATAATCCGCTAACGCTAACCGCTAACTGCTGATTGTCAAACAAGGACATTGCGATGTAGTTCTCACTTCAATTTGTTGTGTGATTTGAATACTCTTTTTGTCAACAAATCCCTCAAGTAGTTAATATGAGTGCAGTTATAATTATATATATTTTTTTAATTTTTGCATATTTAATTAAAAAATAGTGTACAAAAAAGATAATAGACAATTTAGTGAATATAATCAATTGATGAATTCGAATGTAAAGAATTTTTACATTGGAGAAATATAAAGACAATATAACTAATAAAATTATTTCTCTTAATTAATTTATTGATAATGAATATATATATTTTTTATAATAAAGACATTGTAGAGACAATGTAGCGAATATAATCAATTGATGAATTTGAATGTAAAGAATTTTTATATTGGAGACAAATAAAGACAATATAACTAATGAAATTATTTCTCTTATTTAATTTATTGATAATGAATTATTTTTTTGAATAAAGACATTGTAGACACAAAATTCTAAATTAAAGAAATGCAAAATGTATTATTTTTTGTTATGGCTACTAAATTATTATTTAATTTAATAAGAGTAAAATAGAGTACTAATTATGCCAACTTTGATGGGATGGGGTTCAAACCTAAGACCTTTTAATTCTTATTGAAATCAATGAGTAAGTTAACGGTGAACTAACAGAAATTAACGAAAAAAATAATATTTAACGGAAAAGTTAACGGATAATCATATTCATTAAGGATAAATTAGGAAATCTGAAAGGAAAAATTAAAATCTAATCAATCTGAGCCATTCATTTGATTAAAAAATTTGACCGCCATTTTTTCTACCCATTATAGGCCTAACTCTCTTGGGCTCTTATTAGTATAGTAGATAGTATATATATATATATATATATATATATATATATATATATATATATATATATATATATATATATATATATATACACACATAAATACCAAATCTGCAAACCCTAACCCTAATCCATTACTATTGCGCAGCTTCTCACTCAAATACACCTGCCGATAATCTCTCCACGTCTTCTTCCTTCTCCGGCATTCCACGCTCCTCCGTCTATCGGCCACCGCTCTCGGCTACTATGGTTCTTCGCCTATGGATCCCCCGACTCTTCGCCCATGGATCATCAGATTCTTCGACCAAGGATTATCCGGTTCTTTGCACTCAGATCCTCCGATTTTTTAGCCTCGAATCCTCCGACTCTTCTCCCTCGATCGGTTCACCGGTTCTTCCTTTTCTATCTATATTTTTTCTTATATGTACAAATTGGATCTTCAAAAAAACCATTTTGATATAGGTAATCTCCATCTTTTTTCATATACGAAATTATGGAAAATATTTTTTCAAAAAAAAAATTAATTTGGTAAAGGGAAATATTGGACTTAAATATTTGATTAATCCGATTATATATTCCGATTATATATATATATATATATATTTCATATTCAAAATTACTGAAAATATTATAAATATTTTAAATAATAGGTATTAAATTATCTATTTTTTGCAGGAAATATGAACTGAACTAATGTGTACATATTACATAAAGTCTGAACTTGATTTGTTGATGTCTTTGTCATTGTGTTTTTATCATGTATGCTTTTATCTAGGGACGGAGTCAGAAATTCGATTGGAGGGGGGGGGGGTGGGAAGCGAAGAAGTAGGACGGATTCAGAAATTTTTTCAGTAAAAGTGAAACATTAAAACAAAAGAGATAATTTTAAAAAAAAATTACCTAAGATTTTTTTTTTATTTTTATTTTTATTTTTTATTTTTATAACCATTACCTAAGAAATATAGTTGTAAATATTGTTAGATATGTGCGAAAAAATAAAACACATCGAAACTTTATAAAAATATTCATAACAAAATATGAAACATAATTAATTTGATAAAATAATTCGAATAGAAAACACATTATAAATTACACTTCTCACTATTAATATAAAAGAATGTTATATATGTGTGTGTGTATGTGTATTAAATATTAAAAAAGTGACTGTATTGAAGTCATAGGAGAATGACTCAAAAATATGTAAAACTATGTTAATACAAGGATTTAAACTTAAGACCATTTTTATTACCAAACACATGCTCTCCCAACTAATCTAACTCCTTACTTGTTGACATTTATTAATTTTTTTATACTAATACTAAAACATATACTATATATACATATATACCCGGGTTGGACTTTCATTTGGAAGGTTATGAGTTCGAGCCTCAGCTTTGTGTTTCAGTAGGTTGAGAAAGTATATGAACAGATAATACAATGTAATAGGGCCAGTAACATTCAAATATATATATATATATATATAAATACATACAAATATATAAATACATACAAATATTATATATGGGGTGGGGTGGGGGTGGGGTGGGATGAGGGAGGCAGCTGCCCCCCTTTGGCTCCGTCCCTGCTTTTACCCTATATAAAACAAAAGAAATTATTTTTGTTATTAACAAAACATGCATATCAGAATAATTTGTACAGGAAGAAAATACAACTATTATTCTATTAAGCTTACCTTTTCTTCATTAAAAAGACATTCGTTCTCATCTTCTTATCCCTCCACCTCCCCGCAGTTCTGAAAATTCGTAAGTTGTGACCAACCGGATTCTTGTGGCCATTTTTAAAGTCTTTTGTTTTGAAGTAGAAATTACAACCGGATTACCTTTGTTCTGTTCAAGAAATGTGATTTGAATTTATAAACAGTTGCTTTTATACTTGTGTTTTGAAGAACTCGATTGGACTCCATAATATGACGTTGTAAAATAAAATGCTCCTAATTTAATAAAACAATTAATTATTTATTGGATTCTGGAGAATGAAAGAACTATTTTTTGGGTAAATGAATGGATGCAACAAAGAATAACAACCACTTCAATATTCCATTATTAAATTATATATATATATATATATATATATATATATATATATATATGCTGAAAATATGAAGTGAAATAAATAAATGTTGTGATTGTGGGGATTCCCAAATCAATAATCATAATCAGTTTTTTCCCTCGCACTGGCGGGAATTATTAAATTATATTCCTTTTCTTTTTGCAGGAAATATGGAGTGCAATAAATAACTATTTTGGCGGATTCTCAAATCAATAAATATTAATCAGTTTTTTTGGTTGGGAATGAACACGCACGTGGTGGCTGGAATTGGCGCCAATTTATTCATGCTTTTGGAGAAAAAATTTTGTGGCTAACTATATTAAAAATTTACTACATAGTATTTAATATTACAAATTTTTAAGAACTTAGTAAATAACAATATTAATTGAATTACAATTTTCAGAGTCACCACAGATCAAATTTTTAGACCTTTGAGATTTCTAGCTCTAGATGTAGCAACATACAATTGACCTTTAAAGACCAAACAATTATTTTTATAAATATAAATGACTATTAATCATCACAATTTTCTAAATAATAATATAGAAGATCCAAAAAATTAAAGAATACAATAATAATAATAATAATAATAATAATAATAATAATAATAATAATAATAATAATAATAATAATAAGAATAGAGATAATAATTGTAACAATAATTGCTCACCAAAATAATAATTGTAACGATAATTGCTCACCAAACCATATGACTATATTATAGTTAAGATTTTTTTATTTTTCATAAAAATATTTTATTTTGTAATAATTTATTACAATTTTTATTTACAAATTTAATAAAAAATTATTAAATATGAGCTTATGTATAAATTCCCTGTGTATTTTGTTTCAAACAAAGAGAATAGTTTTAAATGGTTCGGGCTATCAAGTTAGCTCATTAAATTTCGGGCTAGCTCGTTCAAATCATCAGATATATCGATTTTGGACTTCCTAACCCTCAAAATTTTCAGACTTATCGGATTAAGTTATCAATTTCAGACTAAGATTGACATCCCGGCGATATTGCAACACTATATGGTCTGATGGTGTTGCATTGGGCAAACCAGTTTCTATACTATCTTTCTTTCCCATTTACTGATCCTTGGCAACTGGGATTTGGCTTTGACTGTTTAGCAAAAGTGGTGATCTCTGGGTTTTCATGAAATTACAGGCAGCACCTCATTTGCAAGATAGTGAGCAAGTGAGTTCAGTTGGTTTTGCAGACCCAAATCTGCAAGAGTGCAAGGGGAGTTTGAGGAAGATGAGATGCAGGTTATGGCATTCTTGGCAAAAGAGTGTCTACTCTTGGATCCTGATTCTAGGCCAAGCATGAGTGAGATTGTTCAGCTTCTCTCAACTATTGCATCAGATCAAAAATCCAAGGGGTGGTTGAATATTTTGTGCAAATCTGACAAGCAAGAGACAAAAATGGGTAGAAACAAAAAGGTGGATAAAAATGTGTAAAGTACTAAGCTAATTACCTTCTTCTCATTAGGGTTTTCAAGAAGAAGGTAATCAGCTCACCTTCTTATATCCAAAAAAAAAAAAAAAAAAAAAAAAAAAAAACTGACAAAGAGAGTCTTCTCCCTCCTCATTAAATGCGCAGGTAGAAGGAGAGAGAAGAAGTTATCCTAGATACCTTCTTCTCATCTCCACACGGTGAGAGAGAGAAAAGAGGTAGTTCCAACTTCCAACTACCTCTTCTCTCTTTATTTAATTTTCTCCAAATTTTTCTCCCCTTCTTCTAGCATAAATACTGGAGGGAGAAGATGAAAAATGCACATCTCCTTCTTTCACCATCACCATATCATTGCTTCTTCTTGGTAGCTAAATCAGAAGCAACTGAAAATTGCAGTTAGTTTGTAGTAGTCGGTAGTAGTGGTAGTAGTGGTAGTAGTCGGTAGTAGTCGTAGTAGTGGTAGTAGTCGTAGTAGTGGTAGTAGTCGGTAGTAGTCGGTAGTAGTGGTAGTAGTCGGTAGTAGTGGTAGTAGTGGTAGTAGTGGTAGTACTGGTTGTAGTGGTAGTAGCAGTAGCAGCAGTAGCAGCAGCAGCAGTAGGAGCAGCAGCAGCAGTAATAGGAGCAGTAGTAGTAATAGTAGTTATTTTTATTTTTTATTTTTTTTGGAAAGGAAGTGTAGTAGTTATTATTAATTATTATTATTTTTGTTTTTGTTTGATGCATATAGTACAAATATTTCACCTTGGACCTGTGATTATAACATGAAATAATATATTATTATTTATTAACAGTTATGGATGCGAGACAATTTCACCCTGAACCTGCTGATCCGTCTATGCTAGAATTTCAACCAAGGCATCGATGCACATATATTTGGGACGACCCAAACTTTAATGCCAAACTTAGTGGGTCTAGATATGACGGTAAAATGTATACTGATGAACCTCGAGAGCCCCGAATGATTACATATTTAAGGGTCGCAGGGTTTTACGGTGTTGCATATTTAGGTCGTCGTATTAATATCGATCACAGCCTCATCGCAGCACTTGTAGAGAGATGGCCGCCAGAGGTGCATGCCTTTCATTTTCCATTTGGTGAAGTGGGTATAACACTTCAAGCCGTTGAAGTGTTATTTGGTTTGAAGGTTGATGGGCTTGCCGTCACTGGCAAAGACAAGCGTCCACCTAATGAATGGATTGAGGAATGTGACAGGTTGTTGGGTTTTCGGCCTACTCTTGAAGTCGTTACGACGAGCAAAATATTTGCTACCGCGTTACCAGCAGTGCCTGATTTGAACGAGTGGCATACTGATGAAGAAGTAGAACAAGCTACTCGTCGCCTTGTTCTTCACTTGTTAGGAGGCTTTCTCTTTCCTGACACAACGAAGAATAAGGTGAAGCTATTTTTTTAAAATTTTTTAAATACCTTTGAAGGATGCGGTCAATACAGTTGGGCTTCTGCAGTATTAGCGTATTTGTATAGTTCAATGTGTCGTGCTGCCGACTTTGAGTCATCCACAGCTTGCAGATGCCTCATATTATTACAGATATGGGCATGGGAAAGACTACCTATGGTGAGGCCCCAAGGAATATTGCCTTTGAACAATCTCGGCTATGTTTCAAAACAGACGTTCTGCTGGTGAGTTAATGCAACAGGCTGGATTGTGTTGGCCAACCGAGATTGATAAGGAGATGTCCGCTCGGGAACAGTTCAAGCACAATGCACCCATTCGCTCCTATAACAACCAAAGAGGGATATAAGAGGTAACACTTGAATCAACTTCCAGTTCTCTGGGCCAACCACGCTATGTTAAGGTAAATTTGACTGACCAGACATGTAGCTGTGGTCGTTGGGCTGTAGATGACTTACCTTGTGCGCATGTCATTGCCGCATGCCATTATAGAGGGACTGTCCCGGACTCCTTTGTGCCACAAGTCTTCTCGTTACAGTATTACAGAATGAGTTATGCAGGAGACTTGAATCCATTGTCGGATGATCAAGTTCAGCTGACCACAACACTCACGTGCCTGCCACCCTCAACTGCCCGTCGAAAAGCTCATAGAGGTCAACAACGTACAAGTCGATTTCCTAATGAAATGGACTTTAGACGTCACCGTCGTTGATGATGATATGCCCTCTATGTAATCCATTGGTTCTTTTATTAATATGAATGTCATGAAAAATTATAATATAATTGCATTAATAATTACACATTTATAATTGTCAAGTTCACCGCAATACAAATAATAAAATAAATAAATAAATAAATAAATACATAATCAAATATTTAAAATACGTTATTATTATCTTGCAATCCATCGTATCACAAATGAGTATTTAAAATTTTAAAATCTTTGTTTATGTGATTTTTTTTTGAAAACTTGATGTTAATAATTAATATTTAGCAAAATAAAAATTTTAAAAAATAAATTCGAAGTAATAAAAATTACAAGGGTTGTGTTCTAATTAAATATAATATAGAATTAGGAAGAACATTATCAATTCTTTAACTGCTTTGAAGATCATATAATCACATATATTAAATAAATTAATGGTGTTTGCAATTCTAAATAATTAATATATTAATATATTACTAAAGAAGGTAGTGTCATTACATTCTTTTGTGGTTTTCCCGTCAAAGCAAAGACAAATACAAGAAGGTAGTGCCATTACATTCTTTTAAAATAGGGTTTTGAAAAGAAGGTAATGGCATTGGTACTTTACATATT